TATAATCATTGTTTTAACATTTATATTTACAAATTTAGTTAGTTTATAGTGTAGCAATTAGTTAGCCGTAGCAAATTCATTTTGTATAAATAGAATAGCTTTTTGCTCAAGTTGTAAATTAACTCTATTGCGAATTTTAGTTTTATTACAAGTTTAAGTAATAAAGGAATCAACTTTTAAAACAAAAATACTTTTCTCCTTTACATGTCCATCATCTAGGATTTGATCGTGAACTACTACATTAACTTGCGATTGAGTTTGTCATTTAGAATAAATAAATTCTCTACATTTTTCCTAAGTCCCTAAACTCTTAAGTTCATAAATCAAGTAAAGTAATTCCAAGGAATTCCAGATACCTGTAGGACATAAGATTCCCTAAGGTTGTAAAGTCTGAAGATAAGGAAATTACTTACTGCAGTAAAGGAACTTAGACAAATTACGTGAAGTAATCAGAGAAGATTATTCCTAGTGACAATGGAAAGCTATTAATACTTTGTCGAGCCTTGGGTATTCAGCATGTGCCAAAATAGTAGATGGATATCGCAAAAAGATCCAAAAAGAATATGTATTAAATGTTGAACAACACTTTATAAAAAATGTATGTCTTTAATTATAATTAATAATAATATATGTATAGTATATATATCTGATCTAATTATTTTTTTACTAAAGAGATGTGTTTTATATTTATAACATAGATGATTATCATACAATTCATGAACTTCGTAGACCAGATACAGTTTCAATTTCAGCAGCAAAACACTTTGTTACATACGTAGCAAAACCTGTTATAGATTTCTAATTTATACCACTTATTTTTAACGGCATATCAATTCATAATCCATCAAATGTAGAAGCATGGAGAATTAACTGGTATTTAATTAGAAAATATGGTGGAGTATTCGATACCTCATATTTAGATCATCAAACATTTTGGGTTTCACAAAAATAATTAAACATCAATGAATATGATCGAATTAAAGCATTAACAATACACATTTATAATGATAATATTGTGAAACAAAAAGATAAACGATCTATAAAAGATCTTCAATTAGTTGGATTGAAGGAGCAACATTTACATTCAGTTCAGGATTATGTTAATGCATTAAAACTCATTCTATCTATAAATGACAAAGCAAAGCATTTGGATATCGGTTGCACCAATTGTTGCAGATTGACCTGGCCAGATATTTATTTGAAAGGTATTATACACAGAAGGATTATCTTGTGAAATTAAAGCATTTCTACCTATTTTAAGTCCTCTCATGTGTCATTAAACAGTCGTGAACAGGTTTTATTAAACTATCATCCTTTTTTTGAAAACCTATTTCATTTTGTATTTGGCAAGCATAAGGTGTTAGCAAAAAAACCCGCCCATGAAGAATAAATCTCTTGTTAGAACTTGTACGAGAAGGTTGAATCAAGATTAAAATAAAAGTAATGGATAAATTTGGACAAACTTGTAAAGATATTGAGTATTGAACTACAATTATTTACTTGATAACTTAGTTCTAGCAGTTTTTGATATTTACACAGTTTTATTTCGATCAGATTCATTTGATGAATATGTAGAAACAATTTTTAGAATATAGACATTTGCTTTGAGATAGAAATGAAATAACTATAATAAAGTGCCCTTAATATTTTTGTCAGACTTGTTTTATTGGAAGGATAATAACCACCCCTTTTATAATATAATTAAGACATATTTACCAAATTTTAACGATTATTATGTGGAAAATACACATAGCTGAATTTGAGTAAATACCTCACCAAATGCAACAACCGATAGTATTATAAAGCAGGCCTATGTTATCAGTAATATTAGGGATATTTTAATATTTGATTGTTTAATAAAATTATATTTTATTTATTTTTATTTATCAATTTTTAGTGAATCATGACCCCGCATTTAAAAACATGTATTGTAAATCAAGATAATATCTATACAGCATTAGGACACTTGATTTTCTATCAAATAAAGCTGGCCTTTTTTTATTACAGTATTTTCAAGAAATATTTCATAATTGTGAATGAAGTAGGCCAAAACTAAATAAAAAAGTCAATAAAAAAAAACCTTCAGAAATTTATCAGCTTGTGACCCTGAGAAAAGAGGTAGACTTACGGTGTTTACCAACAGGATATAACACATCGTATCCACCACAACCTGGATTATGTAATAAATGTAAACTTCCATTTATTGATGACAATGGTATAGTGTTTATCTGTGGTTATGCCTACCATTTAACTTGTTATCACAGAAGATGTATCTATTGTGAGAAGTTCTATAAAAAAGGAGTGGTTAAAAATATTGAATCATTCTTAAGGCGAATCGAAAAATCAATAAATACATTTATCTTATAGGATCTTGTTGATGATGATAATATGGAGATGGAGACAAAAGGAAGAGATGATGAAAATTCTGGAAAAATAGATAAAACACCAGATATTTTATCTAAACTTACAATAGAAATTAACCAAATAGAAAATTGGTAAATATATAGATTAGTTAAAATAAAAA